TATCGCTAAAAATAAAAGTCACATTTTATTTTACAAACAATTTGATTTTTTCCATTAATGGCACGAAAACTGTGCATGCTGTATTTGAAGTGCACAAAATGACATGATACCAACTGCATAAAATACACAAAATATGTTTTAGTGAGGACTTGTACATACTGTCAACCCAGGATTGGGCTGTAAATATAATTGCAACCTTGCAGAAAAAAAGAAAGAAAAGTCATTCAGCACTTTAAAACAGAAGTCAGAGGAAGTGCCAGGTGGCCATGCAGGAGTGGGTCACAGACAGCTGGGAATCAGGGAGCGACCCCTCACCCCACACCCTCAATACCCCGCCCTGTAGCCCGGGTTTCTCAGGGCACACTGAGCAATGTGGTGCAAGAGGTGAGGGACCCACTGGCTACTTGTGCCACATGAGCAGCCGTCCTGGAGCCTGGCACCTGCAGTCCCACAACACTGGCAGAGATGGAAAGAGGGTGGGGAGACAGGAGCGTGGACAGAGGGACCAGCGACGCTACCAGCACAAGGGGGTCCCCGGTCCACACAGGTGCTACAAATCTCAGCTGTGCGTCCCTGCAGGAACAGCGGCCGCTTGGAAAGTTGGGCCTCTGGGACACGCTGTGCTATCTCCTTCTTCACGTAACAGTCTCTGGGCGTTTTCAGATCATCTGCCACTAAAGAACCACTTTATATTTCTTGGCATCTTTGTGCTGATCGTATCACTACCCAAGCGTGTGGAGCAGGCAAGCGTCACAGGCCTGAGTGTAAAACCCACACCAAGATCCAATCCTAGAGATGCAGGCTCCATCAGTGGGCCCAGCTGACAGAGATGACCAGCATCCCTACTAGCAAGGCCGTAGGCCTTTTGCTGTTTGGTGATATTTTAGTCCTGTGGTTCCAACATATAATTTAACTCACTGTATTCTAAATATCTGCCACCTACCCTTGGCAGATGTTCTTCATCACGTAACGTTCTTCAACTACATTTAATGCACAAAATTAGTATAATGGCTTAAATCGAAGGCTTGTGAGCCAGGTGAGGCAGCACACATCTGTGATCCCTGTACTCGGGAGGCTGAGGCAGGAGAATCGTTGCAAGTTTGAGACCAGCCCGGGCTACAAAGTGAGCTCAAGGCTAGCCTGAACTGTATGGGGAGAGTTTGTGTCAAAAAACAAAACAAAAGAAAACAAACAAAAAAAAAACCCCAAAAACAAAAATAGCATTTCCTAAAATGTAAAAAGAATTCTTTAAAACAAACAGACAAACAAAAAAACAAACAAAGGCTTGTTTGTTCAGAAGTGGAGCTTTTGGTAGAGGAGCAAAAGTGGAGCTTTTGGTGGGGCGCCGTCCTCCTCGTCCTCCTGGGGCGGGGGGTGGTCAGGCACTGACGTATCCACAGCCGCGGAGGCTGTTAGAGGCGGGGCCTGGTATGAAGAGGCGGGTCACTGAGTGGTTTGGAGTGGGCGGGGGCTCCCTAGCTCCAGGCTCCATGCCGCTTCCCGGCGGCCGTGGGTGGAGCAGCTTTTTCTCTGTCACGTCCTCTGCCGCCCTCTGCCGCGTGGTGTCTGCCTTGGAGCCAGCTGACCCCGGGCTGAAACTCTGAGGCAAAACAAACCCCTCTTCCTTGAAGTTGTGGACACTGGCCATGTGTCCAGTAAAGAAAACGGACTCAGCGCACGAGGTCACTGCCTCATACCGTGTGACCCGGTGTTCGCAGGGGGTGGGGAAACACTATTGATCTTAGGGCCTTCCCTGGCATTAAAAGTACAAAATACCTTGCATTTTGTTTAAAAAACAATCATTCCACGGGCCATTTTAGCACAAGTAATTTAATTACGCCACCCTGAATTCTGATAAGGTATTACCTATTTTCCAGTTTGAGTGTGGACAGCACCCAGCTTTCTAGAAGACAACCTCAAGAACAAGCTCTTTAAATTGTGTGTGCCCCTCACGCGGCTTTCAACAGCCTCATCAGCACCGGAGCCTTGGTACAGTCCAGCAGTGAAGACTAAGGGCTGAGGCAGGAGGGTCGTTGCAGGACTGAGACCAGCCCAGGCTGTGCCCACTTCTGATCAAATCAGAAAACACTCCTCCACATCCGCTCCTACTTCTGCTGGAATTAAACAACCAAGAAACGCTGTTGGGCGGCACGAGGTCAGAGACTAAACTACTGCAATTATAATTGGAAAGGCCCAGGAAATAAAGAGAAAATTATTTCTATTGCAAGAATTAATTAAAATCTTGTTAGAAGACTGTAAGACAATGCCTTGTGAGTAGCTATTAAGCATATAGAATTAGTGATTCACACCAAGCAGCCTACCAGTTACCAAGCTCTCTAAAATGACCCATCTGTTAGCTTCTCTGAAGTTGAAGTAAAAATAAAGCTTAAAATTCTGGGTAGCATCTTTTCGGAAAGTGGTCAAACTTTACTTTGTAAAGAAAGCCAGCTCAATCCTCTGAGACCCAGTTCCTTTAGAAACTTTGTTTTCAAGAGAATCCTTGGAGTTAAAGCAGGGAACCACCACTGTGAACGTTGCTGTAAGTGTGGGCAGAAAAATCTCCATCTCCTTCTAGAGTTGTACATGTGGCCCCTGAAGGAAGCGTGGCAGGATGCCTGGGTTGCTAACCGACTGCTCCTCCAGTGATACGGGCTGTATACACTCTCCCCAGAAGCCAGGACCAGCCCATCTCCTGAACAGCCTTCCATTTTCCATCCTTTGCTCAAGTTGTGCTTTCTGCATGCAAAGGGTCCTTCACCTCTTCTCCTCCTTGAGGGCAGCCCTGAAAGTCAACTCATGATGTGCCATCTCTTTTGGAAATGTCCAGCATGTTTTTGATGGGAAGAATCTGTTTGACATCTGCCATGCCCACTAGTGATATCTGCTTTGCCACTTTTCTGATGATAGTGTGAAAGTTCACAAAGTATAACACAGCTAAAAAAGAGACCTGGGGTCTAACCACACTCTGGTTAGCAGAGTCCTGTTAGGCAGGTCACCTATGAATTTCTGAAACCTTTAGATGACAATCACAGATACAAAAATATGTCTCAGCCAGAGATATTCAATCTTACTAGCAGTGCTAGTTTCTCCTGATACCACTGAGGGTGAATAGAGAAAGGAAATCCTTATCCCTACCTATCCAAAGAAAAGAGTTTGGAGTGAGATTTTTGTTTTATTTTTATGTGTTTTTTTCCTTTCTCACAATGGTATATCTCTTAAGACAAGTCAGGACCTAAAGCAGTGTCCTCCGCATAAGTAAGTGATACATATTTTATAAACAAATGGAAAATAGAGGGAATGTATAGAAAGAGATGCCGCTTCAGAATCCCTGGGCAAATGTTTACTTTTCTTAATCTTTTACCAATAAATTTTCCTAAGTCAGTGCTTCTTAACCAGGTCTGTCACAACCATAGCGGGGCACTGTAAGTTTATAAACCTCAAGCAATAGGATATAGTCACTCTTCTGTACCCTTGGGCTGCATAATCACAAGTTCAACTAGCTGTTGACTGAAAATATTTGGCAAACACTCTGTACTGAAAACAATCTTTCTTGTTACTATTCCTTAAATAATGTAGTATAACAACTATTTACATAGAATTCACACAGCATTTGATATTAAAAGAAGGCAGTGATGATTGAAAGTGTACAGGAGGATTGCATAGATTGTATGTAAACGCAGCCAGTTTATGTCAGAGTCGGAAGCATCCATGAAGTTTGCTGTCTGAGAGAGTCTGGAATGAAGCATCCATGGGTATCAAGAGATAATTTTACCAGTTTAATGTACATTCTAGCACATTTCTTTTTCTCCTCACCCCTTCCTTACTCTCTGAAGACCTGTACACTCTTTTAAAATCTTTTGGATGACTGTAATCCAAAAGCAATTTAAAATCACTGTTCCAACTGTATTTTTGCATAAACAGGATATAAGAGCTCCATGAGTTGGTTAAACAGGCAGTGAGATATCCATCCTCTGGATATGTCAAAAGAACAGTTCTCTCTCCTGCTTGATTCAACCATGTATACCTGAAGACTAGAATAGGTCACATGAATTCTTAGACTCTCAGATCACTGAAACTAGACAGAACCTTAGAGATTACCTAACCCAACACCTCTCAAATGGCAGCATGCCCAGAATCATCCAAAGGGCAGGGAGGAACACTACTTGCTGCATTCCACCCCTCATTTATGTTTCAGTAAGTCTGGGGTAGGCGTTAAGGGTTAGGTTTCTCACAAGATCGTGACTCTGATGTATTTGATCATGGACCACACATTGAAAACCACTGCTCTGATTTTATTTCTATTTTTATTTATCACAAATAAGTATGCTGAGTCCTTCAGTAGCAAAAGTGACCTATATAAAAATAACACAACTAAACAGGAAGCCTGATATTTCTCTGAATAGCAGTATCCCCCTTAGGTAAGTCACATATGAAGGTCTGAAACTTTTAGATGACAACGACATACACAAAAATATGTCTCACCAGAAACATTCAAATTTGTTGGCAGTGCTGGCTTCATCTGATACCACTGAGAGTGCATACAGAAAGGAATTCCTTATTTCTGCTCATCCCCAGGACAGACTTTGGAGTTATTCTTTTCCCTCACAATGATAAATCTCTACTGACAGTTTTATTGCTGTGGCTAAAATGTTCTTTTAAAATGAAAACATTATGTAATCCCTCTGGCAATGCAATAAGAAAATTCTTTTTGTGGGGTTCCTTGCATAACATTTTAATAATAAGGTATTTTTCCATCAACCTTCTGAATACATTTTTAAAAATTGTTTTTAAGGGATACATTTTCCAGCATTTTGAAGTCTCTTCTCCCACGTGAAGATCATAGGAAGAAGCATAACAGACAAGGTTTGGCTTAGACCAAAGTCTTTCACACTCCTGCCTTGCCCATGCCAGCCTGCCGGGGATCCGACCAGCCCGCTCTTTGTGCCTAGCATGAGCCCCGAAGCTATCAGATCGTCCCAAGCCCCCTTTCATGTTCCTACCTTGGTCTTTCTGCTTCCTAGTTCACTGATTCCAGACCAAACCTGAAGACTTTCCGTCTTAGAACATTCATACTCATCACAGGACTTGGCTTGGGGATCCTCTTTCCCTCAGGAGAGGCCTCCAGGGTCTTGCTGCACCCTGCTTAGGTCACTTTAATCTCACATGTTAGATTCCCAGGGTTTCCAAAGTGCTGTAGAAATTGTGAGCACAGCATGTCAGAGGGAAGGTACTTTACTTAATCTCTCAGGGTATTAAACCACTGAAAAGTATTTCCAAAGCCCTTCCAGAAGTTTTGGGATTTTAAAAAATTTTTTTCTATGATATCTATTTTCTATTTTATTTAGGAAAAATAAAATTATTCATTATTTGTTAAACAATTTCATCTTCAATGTGAAAGTACAAACTAAAGCCCATCTTTGACATTTAAGTCAATAACTGTTAGGTCAGTGATGGCGGTCCCCAAGATTTCATCACCTAGTGAGTGACATCATAGCCTTCTTACCTTGTGTAAATAACTCTGAGATGGTCACACAGTGACAGAAACCCCTAATAACGCAGTCCTCAGAACGCATCTCTGTCGTTAAGTGACACACAACTATATCTGCACGCTCTTCTCAGAACTTTCTGTGGACTGCTGTGAGCACTAGAAACTTGTCCTCTGTGAGGGGAGAAATGTGAAGAAACTGAACTCTACAGTGTAGCGATATTTTCAAAGCTAGAAAAATTACACTATTAACAGTAGTACGACTCCACTTAGTGGTTGCTACATAAGCAAATCTGACTCTTTAAGTTGGGCTTGGCACCAAGATTTTCAAAATATAATTGGATGACATTATTGAAAACATGAAATAAAATTGTCAGTCTAAAATTCAAGGCCCTGTTTACAAAAGTAAATAAACAAAAAGTAAAATTTCAGACCATAGTTCTAACTTTACTAACCGTTAAAATATTCCAAACTGTTTCATTTAAGACTCTTTTCTTGTTATTCAACCAGAAAATTGGATCTAAATCCATTCGCCACAGGCAAAGGTAACAATTACAAAGTAAAATTGAATGTGGACACGTGCATGGTGTGATTTTGCCTTTTAAAAATATGTGCAAAAATAAGAATCTGTGGAGGACTGAAGAGGTGCTTAAGAATGTCTGCGTGCCCCCCCGCCCCGTGACATAAGCGAGCTGCACCAGATAAGCACTTTATGAAATATCAGTGTCTTTTGTTTTGTATTCTTCTAAAGAATTCCATTCACTTAATTGTTATCCTTAAAAAAAAACCCATATTATTTTTTAACCTAAAACCTACACTAGGTGGAGCCCCTTGTCTAAGATTTGGAGTGATTAAAAAAAAGCAAAGAGGAGAAAAAAAAAAACCCAAACAAACAATTTAAAGAAGCGAAATGATACTCATTCTTTCATTTTAAAAATGTAGCTTTAAAATCTACAGTACTACCAGGAAATCAAGTTTCTTCCCATTGTTGAACCGTTAAAGTGGACAGTATTAACACTGGCTGCATTAGTTGCAAAGCAACTTTCATAGAGCCAAGAGCAGGAAGGTTCTAGACTCCGACGCAAACATTACAGTTGGTCTGGGGGGAAGGAGCAGAGGGGTCCTGGGATAAACCCCTATTTGGATACTTGCAGAAACATTTTAACCATGTTAATGTGCTTACTAGTTCCAAGTAGAGACAGGTACTCAGGTAACTCCTCACCTCCCAGTTAGACAATACATCGTTGTTAAAAACAAAAGACTTAAAAGAAAAACCAAAAACCCAAAACCAGGGTACTAACAAAAGGCAAAACGTCCAAAATGTATTCAAAGCTCTGCGTTTTCCAGGATGCGGAAATACAGGAAGCCCACACTCAGTTGTCTGCCGGGGGAGGGGCTCTAGGTCCCCAGAGAGCGCAGGTTCACTTTTGCTTAACTAGGACTCGTAGTTAAAAATAGGCTCTGACTGTACTCTGGATCCTCGCAGTGGGCTCAGATAAGACTTCTGAGATAAGGCGCCAAACTTAGAGATCGCTCGTTCCTGCAGGATAAAGCCACTGTGGCCTCCGGCCCTGCTATCACGGCCCCTCTTCCAACCCCAGGCGCGTGCTCAAAATGCAAAGTCCAGCCCCGAGCAAGAGCCCTTGCCCAGTTCCTGACGCTTCTGCTGACAAGGCCCATGCAGATCTCTCAGTTTCCTAGGCAATAAAATGTTGTGGAGTCATGCTTTTCCTCTTCAGATTTCTACAAAATCTTAGGCCAGGCAAGACATAGTTCTGCTGACAGCTGAATTATGTGGCGCAGTAACCTTTGAACAAGCACGAATGCCTGACCTCACGTAAATTCCTTCCAGAAAGTCCAGGAAACTAGTTGGATCAGGGTCAGACCAGCACACAGACACTGACAGCCATCCTAAAAATCCACTTCCCTACTTGACCAGGTATTTATACCTGTCAAACCAAAACGCTGACAGAAAGACCAATTTCTGTGGGTATTTCCCATAAGCAAACTGATGTGTTTCCTTTGCAAATGAGTTAGTTTCTTCACCAAATGATAAGTCTGCAACCACAACTGATTTGTAGACACAAACCTAGCTGAGGGAAGAACAGCACTTTGCAGCGGCTCATCTTCCTTCAGGACAGAAGTAACCTCTAAAAACAGAAAAGTGACGCCTATAAAGGACCTGTAGCATTAGGCTCTAAAGCCATGTATTGGCTAAAAGAAAGGCTAAAGGGCTTGGACATGTTATCCAAAAAGGGTAGCCTTTTTAAATACCTTTAAACTCCACAGAAGCATTCACTTACAACTTGTCATTAAAGCATGGGTGTCGTCATACCAATTTTTATATGATGCAAAGCAATTGGACCTGCTATGTAATAGAGTTCTCCCATTAGCTTTTCAAGTGGGGCAGAGAGTAGATATAGCATATCCGGTACTACTTCTCCATCCCTCCTGTTAGAATTCAGCCCTTGCTAATACGAAGGGAACAGATTCTCACAAGGAAGGTTACACGCAAATTGTTTCCCCTACAGAGAATGGTGAGTGGCCAACTCACGTGTATCCGGCACCATACCAGGAAGGTCACGTAAAGCCCCTGCGCAGAATCAGTGCAGAGTCAACAAATCTATGGTCCTCGTGTCCATCTGTCCTGCTGCTTCATCTCTACAGTAATGACTTCAGGGAAGGGAAGAGGAGTAGCTGGTGTGCTACAGTTTTAAAATTCAACTTTAGGACCCACAGGAAAATGGTTGATAAAGAAAGCTACCGGCTAAAATAGATCTTACCATAAATTTCTCTAGCGAATAAGCTCATTCTCTATATGCCAGGGAGGACAGAACTTGATGAATCCATTGTTTTTTCATTTTGCAGACATTCAGTATTGGTCCTGGGTACAACTTCTTTCTAAGCGAGGTAATGTTTAACTGCTTATCGTCAGCACTGCCTCATAAGCATAATTTAGAACTTCGCTGTTGTAATTCAGGAGCCTTCACTTTTTTCCCTTCTCACTAAACCTTGAGAGAGAGACAAATGTCTTACTCATCAGCACTATTCCGATCTGAGCAATAATTAAAGATAAGGTAGGAAAAGCGAAAGAACTATATATACATAGGAATCGCTGAGAGGGAGGGGAGCCCTGCCAGTGAAAAGGCAGAGAGGGAAGTCACTTCCCCCAGACACAGAGAGCTGAGCTCCGCACGGCTGCCAGGGTAGCAGCAGCTCAGGGCTGTGGTGGACCCGCGGAGGTGCTCAGGGGGCGGCGTCAGGGAAGGCAGGCCTTGGACTCAGCGATCTGGGCCCAGCTGCAGATGGCAATGTACATTTGGGAACCTGTTCCCCCACAAGGTTCAAATCTGATGTCACAAGAGTCACTTTATATTCAGAGTCTGAGAATAGAATGGAGAGGAAAAAGATGATCCTGATGTCATCGGCAACTGTAGGCTTTGCCAGGAGTGTGGCTCCTTCTGATGCGAGGTGGTTAGGAGCTGCAGGAGCTATACAAGTCGAGTGAGGTACGATTTGGGGCAGAAAAAGTAAAAACTAACATTTCCTGGAAGGGTCAAACTCAAGTCTCTGAAGGTTCAAAGCTTATCTCACGGTACATCTATTCCAGAGGTGTACACACACACACACACACACTCCTCCTCTGACAAATCTGATTTAGTACATCTTTGCTGTGCTATCCTCTGCTTGTAGTAGTCTTAAAATTACTGTCCTATTCTGCTCTGCATTGGGATCATCTGTGAAATAACGTTTCTACCAGTATTTTGAAACCCTCTGATCTCTTTGGTGCTTGACTTCCTTCTTTTTTAACAGTCCCACAATGGTTTGGGTAACAGTAACTGCTTATAGAATGAGTAGCAGCAGGTTTAATATTGGGATGGTTTTTTAAAAACTATGCTTTTAGGGTTGATAGGCTTAATTACATCTTAAGGAATCTTTGAGGATCATATCTTCTTGTTCAGAAAGAAATCCATTTTATTAAAACTACTTCTCTTATAGTTGAAATCACCTAGTGTTTCATTTCTTTTTACCACACCCCAAACCCGCCAGGGTCCCAAATCCAGGGGCATACTGTATACTAGTATACAATACACTAGTATACATTCTGTATACTAGTATACAGAAACCATTAAAAGATGCAATATTGGAATTATTATTTCATTCAGCTTTGTATTATGGTCATTAGTTAAATAATGCCCTTACCTGCTAATGGTCCTTTGGGATTCTAGAAAACAGTGGGGTGATAGATGGGGATACGCATCAGTCTCATACAACCTACAGAGTCCTGTGAGACAGGCACACCCCCAAAGTTGCTGTGAGAGTGTGGCAGATTTTTAGCCCCATGAGGGCAGAGATGGCAAGGTCAGGCATCCTGAGGGCTGGCAGGAGCTGTGTGTGATGGAAGGGCAGCAGTTTACTGGAGAAGACAAGGAAAGGGGCTGGAGATGGGGGGAAAGGGGTGAAAAATCACAGGTACACGGAGCCCCAAAGTGAAGCGGTGGAGGGACCTGCATGGTTGAGACAGAATTGGGGAAAACTTGAAGGTCATCCTGGGAGCTTGATCCTTGGTTTTCTGCTTTAGTTTTTGTTTTTGAGAGACTGACACATGATACAAATGGCTTTTCGCACAGTATATATTTCTAGAATTTTCCAACCCCTTACCTCCGCCAAAATTTTTTGGGAAAATAAAGCTAAGAGCCACATCATAGGGATTTTGAGGAGAAGGCGTAGTACTGATGACACCTTTATATAAACACTGAAGTGATGACGTCTTCTTTTAAACATGAAAGCATTCATTCGAGGAGAGAAGTTGTCAGTATTTTCAAAACATCTTGTTTTATTTTGAAAAAAAAGAAGAGAGAAACTTGCCTTTCTCCCCCCATCACTCTGTAACACAGGTAACATAAAAGGGTAAATGAACTGGTGTTACTGGTGCACAATGTTATTATTGCTACTGAAACAAACGAAATGTACAAATTTGAACCCTTTGTCCGCATGACTTAGCTTTGGGTGTGTTCTATTTCTGTCACCCCTTGGCTTCTTATTTTGTGTTCATAATCATTGCCATCATGGATAAGAATGTCGCTGACATCACTGTGTACAATACAAATACTTAAGCTCTCTTCGTACATCTTGGCCTTCCTTCTTACCTAGAGATGATGCAGAAATAGAAG